AAACAGGTTGACTGTAAAAAGTGCATCATGTATCTCTTTTGATAAAACATTTTTATTTACTCATTTGTATGAGCCTCGGCAATGAGCTGAGAGTCAAATACACCCAGACTCTTTGCAGGTGCAAACTCCATGGGCGAGCTGAGTAGCCAACATCAGCTGAGGTGCTACAGAGCTGACTGAGGTGAAGACCCCTTTCTAGAGCACGGGTCTGCACCAGAGAAATGCTGTAGCTGAAGATTCCTGTGTGGTCTGTCAGTTCAGCGATCCTCCTTGAAATACCAACAAAACAAATTAAATGTGGTAATTTCATTTCTGTTAGGTTGTTTAAAATCATTTTTATGTTTGTTTCAATCATTTAAGTCATTTTTCTTTGGGGATGCTGACGATCAAACCTAAGGTTGGTGTGGTCCGCCACTATAGTCCCAGCCCCGGGACATTATGATTTTCTTAAGTCAACTAAAAATAAAAAATCTCTAGCCACAACTGTGGAAATCCATGGAAATAACTATCCTCCAATTCTGGAACTGTGAAAACCCATAATAATTGACAGAAATTCAGTCATCAGTCAGACCTGGGATACTGAGTATGCTATTAAAGCCCAAAGCAGTGTTTGAATAAAGACGTACTCTAAGATGTCATCTAATCCTAAAATGACTGAAATCCATTAGCAGCTGTCAGTTTCAAGATCACAAAAGACTGAATAAAGTATGTTAAAGTGCCCTAAAATATGAATATTTACAGAGGAAATACACAGATATAAATAGTGTGTACATTAGCAACACAGACTGTTCTGCCTGGCTTATTGCACATAAAGCGCCCGTTTTCATGAGAATTCAGGGAGACAAACAGGATTCACTTCTGTTCTCCTCTTTCTTTGTGTACGAGTTTGAACATCCACTGCATTCCTGTTTGTCTAGCTTGTGTCCATTACCTCATCTGCAGAGAAACGGCACAGTTGAAAACCAGTCAGCCCCAAACCAAAGCCTAGCCAGGATTCTTGCTTTTGAATGCTACACCGCAAATGTGCCCACAAATAATGTGCTAGCAAAGCAAGCGTAAGCTATTGCTACTTCCAAATATAATAACAGAGAAGTATTCAGGATGATTTAAATATTTGCACAACAAACCCATAGTCTCAGGTTTTGTTTATTGGGTGTTTAAATATCTTCTGGAAAAACACAAATGGTGACAGCAAATGGTTTTGGGATTTTCACAGTAAAAAGATTCAAGACGGAAAATGTCTAGTTATTAAACAATTCAAAGCATGTTGTAATTTTAAAAAGAAAGCTTTTCCTTTTTGTTTTTATCCTCTAACAAACATAAAATTTCAAGATTTGGGTATGCTGTGTTAGCTAGTTATACATTTGTATAGATACTTATATGAATAAATAAAGGCTTAAAAATACTATATATTATCTTCAAGGAAATACCTGTTTGGACTCAAGTTAGCATATCTGAGTTGTATTAAAGTATGACACTACTTCATGAGACAAACAGATCACATGCTCTATATATTTTGTTGTAGGTAGTCAAATTAAAAGTTACTTATTCAAACAAAACGTATTATGCTGACAACCATAGTACAATTTAAAATTTTCCATTCCATTAATATTTGATCTCTTTAACTCTTGAAGGTTCAAATATAAACAATTTTACTAATCCACACTAATATAACTTTCAAAATATTAAGGCAAATAATCCTTGAAAGCCAGTAATATAGACACTACTTTATTTCTTTTTCTTGCGTGCGTGCGTGTATGCGTGTGTGTGTGTGTGTGTGTGTGTGTGTGTGTGCGTGTGTGTGTGTGTGTGTGTGTGTTGTGCAGTGCATGCAGGCAGGTATGGCAGGTATGCAAGTGTGGGTGTCTGTACAAGTGTAGGTCAGAAGAAGACAACAGGTACCTGCACACTGCTTTTCACTGGATTTTCTCCAGTCAGAGCCTCTGACAACACTGGAAGCTTGCTGCTTTGGCTAAGCTTGCCAGCATGCTTCAGGATCTATAGGATTCTGCCCCCTAACAATGAGGTCAAAGACGTGCTTGCTCACACCCAACTCCTTACAATGTTTGTTTTTATGAATTCTGTTCCTTTGTACACAGAGAAAATGCTCTTACCCACTCAGCCACCTCAGCTCCATGGTTTTATTGTTATTATTTATTATCTGTTAATATTGATATTGAGGCTCACTAGGTAGCCCTAGCTAGCCTGGAACTTACTATGTAGACAGGGCTGGCCTCAAACTCACAGAGCTGCTATCCTCTCCTTCCTAAATGCTGGGATTAAGAGCATGAGTTATCATGTCCAGCTCCATGATTTTATTTTAATGTTCACGTTAAGAAATGATTGCTCACTCTAAATGTCAGAAATATTCATCTCGACTGTATGTGCCTTCACTGTTTGTAGGTTGTGTGTAATACTTTCACCTGTTTGACTGACAGCTGTCTTACTCTTTATTGTGTCTTCGTGAGCACACAGCCAGTTCTATTGACATATGAGTTGCTGAGGCAGAACACTGAAGAGGGTGATGTGATTTCAGAGGCACAGTCCTTTCTTTTAAGCTATACGTGGTGCCTGCTCCGTGCTGTAACAATTCTAAAAGCTAAAACCGATATAGAGAACAAACATATCGTTTTATTTCTCATCTTTGAAAAACTCAAAACCATTTTAGATCAAGACTACATAGCACCAGGGCTGGAGAGATGGCTTGCCAAGTAGGGGCACTTGTCACTCCTGTAGGGGACCTGGGTTTGGTTCTCAGCACCCACATGAATGAACGTTCACAACTATCTGTACCTCCAGTCTAGGGGATCCGATACTCTTTCTTGTCCACCACAGGCACCAAGCACACTCATGGTATGCAGACACACATGAAGCACTCACACAAATATGTAAAGAATATATTGTATAACCTCATAAGGTGGGCTAATGCTTTATAAGATGCATATTACACACAATCTCACATTATCAATTAAATATCCATTATTTCTTCCATAATTCTAGATTCTTTACTAATTAGTACTTTCTGAGTTAAAGAAAATACTGCACTATGCCTTTCACTAAAACAGCACATGCTTCAACTTAAACAGCAGAACAGGCCTTTAGCCGAAAGAAGGCAATCTATGGAATGACTGTACTGAACCAACTGCCCGAGATGGTTAAGGGTGTGGGGGACAATGGGCAGCTCATTGGTCAAGTGTCTGCTGTGCACACATGAGGACCTGAGTTTGGTCTCCAGCAACATGTAAAAGCCAGGCTTGGTGACAAGGCTTATAATCCTAGCACTGTGTGTGGGCAGGGGGCCTTAGCATGGGAGATGAGGGAGGACAAGCAGATCCCTGGTCTTGCTATTTAGCTAGAGAGCCTTGGATCCATTCCTGTCTCAGAAAACAAGCTGGTGGCTGGAGAGATGTCTCAGCAGCTATGGGCACATACTTTCTTCCAAGAAACCAAATTGGGCTCCAAGCCCCTATGTAATGGCTCCCAACTCTAGGGGATCTAGTATCTTTGGCCTCACAGAATATTACATTCAAATTTACAACACCCATACTTCCCTACATATGCACAAAGCTAAAAATCAAGGTCTTTTTTGAGAAAAGGTAGCTAGCTCTTGAAGAACAACACCCAAGGTTGATCTCTGGCCTCCAGATATACACAAATACACATGCGTCTCCACACATATGAACAAGCACCCCTCTGCACACACAGAAGACAGCTATGTCCTTTAGTATGTTACTCCTTACTCTGAGTAGAAAGCATTATAAAGTGCTTTTCAAACAGCTATAATAAAGGACAATACAGTTATGACTAAGACACAGGGAAAGTTACAAGGCTTTCATCCTCAAACACATTTAGAATTTGTCCAGCTTGATCTACGTATGAGCTTGAGGGCAGGCGTGTGTGTGTGTGTGTGTGTGTGTGTGTGTGTGTGTGTGTGTGTGCGTGTGTGTGTGTCTGTCTGTCTGTCTGTCTGTCTGTCTTTTTTGAAAATCCATTTTTTCTCTTGCATATATTTATGCTAAGATAGCCTTTATCCATATGCTTCAAACATAACTTTATTCAATTTAATGTATTGACTTTTTTTTGTATGTAACTTGGATATTTTGGAAATTGCTGTAACACAGAATGATGAGAATTTAACATGTGCTGGGCACGGTAGTGAACACCTTGAGTTTCAGCACTGGTGAGACAGAGGCAAGCTTATCTCTGAGGTCCAGGCTAGCCAAAAGAACACAGTGAGACCTTGCTATCTAACTTGTAAAGTTGATTAAAAATGTGACGAATGACTGGCTTAACCATGTCACCTTCATTATCTAATTAATCTACCTTTGCTAGGTCCATCTTAAAGGTGGCATAACTCAGACTAGGTAAAATCACTCAGCTCGTACACCGAAAAGTCTAGGCTGACTTTACTTAAATCTACACACAAATACCATGCTTATGGAAATGTAGATCTCAAAGGTTATTTCACACCAGCTGTGCCTGTCCTCACATTGCAGCCTGCCTTCACACCATGTGGCCTGCCCTGGTTTAGAAGCTGCTAGTTTGGAGCCCACCTGGTGCATAGCTCCACTCACCCCAGTGGCTGGATCTCAGCTTCTCAGTACCAGGAGCCTCCAAAGAGCCAGCACATACTCGAAGCTGCCTGACCCTTGAGCTCAGATTTAAAACTGCACTCTGTGTGTGTGTGTGTGGGGGGGGGGGTTCCTGGGCACATCCTGCTGCAGGGATCTGTGTGTGTGTGTGTGGTGGGGGGTGCCTGGAAGCATCCTGCTGCAGGGATCTGTAGCACTGTGTGTGTGTGTGGGGGGGGGGGGGATGCCTGGGAACATCCTGCTGCAGGGATCTGTAGCACTCTGATTAGAGTATTAATCAGAGAGTGAACAGAAATAGGCAGGAGTCAATGTGACCAAGATGCAAAGGCCTGGACATAGAAATTAGACTGGTGGAATGGTTTAATATTTTAACTCATTTATCTCTCAGACAAACAGAGAATTACTAACCTTCTACATTCATGGCTTCTCTCAGAACCTGAAGTTTCTTTTGTCTCTCTCGAATTCGGTCCAAAGCACTTGATACCGCAGAGGAGGCCGGCAGCTCTCGGGTGTGGATCACTGGTTCCACTTTCTGAGGGCCGAAGACATCCAAGGCAATGCTTCCGTCAGAGTACCTTCCTTCCTTTTTTCTAGGAGTGGTCGACGTCCGTCCCGTCACTGTCTCAGGGTCACAGTGTTGGTACCTGCCAGTCTCTACAGAAACGTCTCTGTCAGCCACACAAAGCAAGTCCATGGACGAAGCCCAGGTCTTCTTCTTAGATAGTACATCAATTTGTGGACTACTAGTTTTGAACTGGTAAGGGGAAGAGAAAGTCTCAGAATCTTCATGTCTGGAATTATTATCAGATGGAGTATCCTTGAAATACTCTTCCTCATCTTGTGTGTCTCTGACGGACAGAAATCCCATAGACTTACTAAGCCCTCTGTTAAGAAAGGTCTGCTGAGAGAGCGGGGCCTTGTGTGTGTCTAGTACATCAGAAGTGGAGCTTCTTCCTGGAATGATAAGAATCTATCATGTATGCGCAGAACCTTGAGAAGATCAGCTGGCATGTAACCCACTGCTGAGAACTAAAGTGCTGGCAGCTCTCCGAATGACACAGTGGAGGATGGGAGACAGACGACCTCAGGTATGTTGAGGGTGGAAACATGGCCGCTGAGCACATACATCCCTGAGGCCGATGTCTCTTTCTCCTTGTGCTTTGTGTAATACTGAGGATCGAACCCAAGCCCTTCTACATGCAAGAACTCTGCCACTGAGCTATACCTGCATCACAATGCCTCCTAGGAGACAACGTAAGTGATATTGAAATATATCCCTTTTGAGTACTATTATTTCTATCATCAAAGATAAACAATATGGTTTTAAAATAAAGTTAATTTGTTAATGGCAGTGACTTTTGTAGAACAGCAATTACCTATTAAATGATTTAGGATAATCCCTAAAATATGCTCTTAAATTCTAAATACTTAAACATGTGTCTCCTGGTGTATTCTGATCTTTTAAACAGATATGTTAAATTAAAAACAGAATTGTTTCTATTCTTCATAGGAAGAAAATTGTAATGCATGGAATTTTTAAGTTCAAGATTATACTATAACTAGCTATGTTTTTAGAAAACTTCACTATAGCTAAAATCCAGATCATTTCCATGGAAATTCTTAAAGAAATCCATCTTTTTTTCATGACAGACTATTGTACAGACTAAAAACTAACTGCAATACTAAATTTAACTTCATCTTCATAGTTCAATGGAGTTAAAATCAGGTATTTATCCTGCTTGAAATATGCCAAAAGTGTCCATCTAGCTATATCAATTATATAAATCCACGTATTCAACACCTAAAATGGTATTTGTCCAGTCAGTCAGTACTGGAAAAAAAAATGTAGAAAATGTTTTGACATTACAACCTCAATAGTCCCAAAACCCTGACAACTGTCTCTGGTATACTCTGTGATTTCTCTTTGAAAATAAATATGTTATATAATATGACTAGATCTTTCGGAGTAACAAGAAGTTGCTTGCAAATTCATCTGAAGCAACCAGTTGTCTCTTCACAGTAATAGCTGTAAGCTTTAATAATCTGATAACAACCTTACCCTGAAAATGTGAGGAAAAGTACATTTGTATCAGTTGATGCAATAAATAAAACAAACATCATGCTGTTTGTTTCGTATTTCTGTAAAGAATTGATCTAATTAAATGTAACGATGGACAGCTGCCATACTTGAGGTACTAGAACTACAGGACATTAGGAAACATAATACCTCACCCAGGCAGGTTATTACAAAATCTAGCTTCTAGTATGGCCGTCACACAGTCCTTTAGAAGTAAGTGAAATTCTTACACAAACCACATCTTGCAATTACTGAATTTACAATTGTATGGACTGCAAAACGGACATATTTTTGGAAGCTGACAAAATACATAAGCTGCTAAAAATAAATAAATAAATAAAAGAACTGAGAGGATTCGGGGATCACAAGCCGCATGTGAATGCAGCCAGCTTCCTTCTTTCTGGTCCCTTGCTCTAGGCAAGCAAACAAACTTTAAAAAATTCAAGCAGAGTATGGACACCACAAATTCATGCTCAGACATTCCGTTCCCTTGATAAAATGCGTTAACAGTAAACTTACTTACTTTCTACAATGAGTTCAATATTGTTCTTCTTCAAATTCTCACTTTCACTGTTGCTTAGCTGGTGATCTCACCTCACTTTCCACAAGGCAACAGCACCTTCCTGTGGCTCCTTTCCGTGGCTCCTTCCCGTAGCTCAGGCTACCCACCCACCCATGTACAGATACTTTCCTTGTTGTCTCAAAGCATGATGCTTCCAAGCAGTGGAGAGGCCAGGCCCCAGCATGTAATCTGAGTTTCCTCACTGTTTACTTACAAGCGTTTATTTTTGTTTAACTTCTCTGCTGTGCACACACAGTGCCAGTATCTCTCCCCTTTTATTGGGCTGTTCCCACTAACACAGAAATATCATCTAATTTTTCTCAGAAGACAAACCAAACCAAGACAGACTCTACCCATCACCACATTTCCCTTTGACCATTGTCTTCCAATGCCTTACGTTCACTAGTTCCCCCTGCTTGTGTCAGCATCCAGCCACACTGTACCTGGGTAGCCCTCATTATCCATCACTAGTGGCTTCCCTGCTTAGGCTGCTCAACCTGCTCTTGATTGTTCCTAATCCTTTAATGGGTTTCCAAAGGGTGGGTTTCCTCAAGTATGAGGTTCAGAACTATGCCCACCCCACCTACCATTTGTGTTTTCCTTATAAATCTTGTATTAATGATCCTTTAAATAATATCTTTTTGATAAGTGGGATTTAAAAATTCCCAAACTTACTTTCTTAAGGTGTGGGGTGAGGGTGTACCTGTGAAGTGTCCAGCCCCAATTGACACATCAACAGTACAACCCTTAAATCTAAGGCTCAAGGAACATCACAGAAATGGGGGCACAAGTACTGTAAGTGTCAAGAACCAGGATGCCGACTAGATAGTGTCCCTAGACATCATAAGAAAACACTCCCATGACTCCCAACTATGTGGTTGCTTGACTAATATTGGCCTCCTGACAGTACTGGTTGACATGCCAACATGGACAGAAGGAAATTCCACAAATCCTGTCCCCAGATAAACAACTCTAGGTGATCAATGGCTGACGAGGGAGGGAGAATCAGTTTCCTCCAGTGACAGGATCACAAATAAACTGTTCAATTTTAAGTGCTCAGTCCCTGGACACACAGAAAGTGGGACAAAGCTAAAGGCACTCAGTAGACTGTGTGTGAGTGCATACACATGTTAGCTGGAAAGATGTAACAGTAATTATAACAGACAAGGTCAAGGATGTGGAGTGGGAAGGCAGGAGTGATGCAGATGAACAGTCACGTGTGAAGTTCTCAGATTAAACCAGACACACATTTATACAAATAAAATAAGAATAAATAAAAAAAATATACAGGGAAAGTTTTTAAAAATCTACTTGATTGTCACAAATTAGTATTGTTTCTACAAATACATCAAATTTAACCCGTTTTCAAATCCTATCTGCTGATAATCACAGACTTAAAGTCTCACACAGCACTTCCTAGTAAAAGATGATCTTGATTCATAATTGAAGCCTATCTGGTGACCAATGGGACCACAGAAAAGACAGTGAGACAGAAAGATGATCTGAGAAGGAAAAAAGATGAGGAGAGGCGACAGACCTGAGGAAGCTGGGCAAACAAGGTGTGAAGCCAGCAGGACATTGGTATCACAAATGACCTAATGCAAAAGACTGAGTTACAAAGTTACAAAATTGTTAAACTGGGGAGATCCCTGTCACAAATGACCTAATGCAAAAGACTGAGTTATAAAGTTGTAAGTTAAAAAAATGTTAAAGGAAGAAGAAACCATTGTGGATAAAAGAAGAAAAACAAAGCTAAGTGGTTGTTATTGCAATGTTTTGCCCATGACTGGTTTTATTTGCATTTCGGGATAAAAAGGAGACATGTCTTTAGGTAGGGGTGGAAACAGCACATGGTAACAACAGATATGTTGGCTGGCCCAAACACATCATTTTTTAAACGAAAGTTTTAAAGCCATATTTTTAAACCAAATACTCCTAACTGGGCAGACTATCATCACTCTCGGTCATACCCTTTCACACTGTGTCACACTTGGTCATGCTAATGATGTTCTTGCTGTCTTCAACTGCACAACCAGACACAGAAGTCCCTGATTTACCCATTATAGGATGAAAAGTTATTTTTTATAAAATACAAGATATAGTATAAAATAGTAATTCTGAAAAACTGCAAATTTTACTAAATAAAGTAAGGACATAATATAGCAGCATAATCACTATATGTTGCTAAGGTACTAGAGAAAAATTCACTAATCTAGTAACTTAAAATGTGAGTTCAAATATAGAACCTAGCCATAGGGCTGAGAAGAAACATGGCATGCTAGGCTTCTTAGATGCTCAAGTCTGCTGGCCAAAGAGTATGTACACATAACAGCAGCACCATTTGATAATCTGTATTTGAGACTAAACAAAATGTTGACTGCTTTCCCAATATTTATAAACATGTGTGTATGCTATCTAAATTATTTTACACGGTTAGCAATAAATACCATTGCAGTCACCAATGAAGCATGACAGCCATGCCACTGGGGAACAGTTCCTCGGCCTGACGCAGTTACCCCTTCCACTGGAGTAGAAGAGCACAGCAGACCTACATGTATTCACACGTCTCACTATACAGATCATCCCTTACTATATAACTGTACATAGGTACTCGCGGGCAGAACAATACGTGGCTGCCTCACTTGTTTCGTAGTTATAATTCCCTATAAAATAGCTTCTGAGAGAGTGATGGTCGAACGAATTGATCTCAAAACTTAAAATCCAGCTTAGGTGGCAGCACTTAGGAAAAAGACTACTATCAAGAGACTCTGATTTTAAATCAATTCATAAGCTTGTGCCAGCCAGTCAATCTCCATGTTCCTCATTTCCTCTCTCTACAACATGTGGGTATGATTTAGCACTACTATACAGATGACAGGATCACTGAGCTAACCCATCTGAACTTTTCTGAGCTCTTCTCAATAACAGGAGAATAAATTACATTTTCTTTCTCTTTTCTGCTTCTACTTTGTTTCCCTAGACATATGATTACCTACCAAGAGGGGATTTATAACTTCTCTTGAGAGAAATAATGAAGCCCAGAGATCAGAAGGTTACCGTAAACATCTTAGACCTGTTCTTTTAATAGAGTATCAAGCTTTCCCCAGTAGGATAAAAGGCTGTTAGATTTTCCAGTCTCTTCAGGGGGCTCTGAGCTCTGTTCACAGACATGGATTGTCACCAATCATAAGCATCCAATTTTACAATGAACACACTTCTGGAGAAGGCACAGTTTGCTCAAATCTAAACGGAGAGGAATGAACATTGAGTGAAGAGCTACAGATAAAAGACTTAAGAAAACCAGGGCAGAAGTGGCACACCCTTTAATTCAGGACACAAGAGGCAGAGGCAGGTGGATAGCTTGAGTTAGAATAGAAGCCAGTCTGGTCCACAGAGCGAGATCCAGTACAGAGAGGGCTACACAGAGAAACCTTGTCTCAAAAAAGAAACAAATAAAAAGATTTAAGAATATAAAAAGACTTCACAGAGTGTACCCCATTTATTTCAATTAAACTGAAAAAGATTCTTTTACCCCATTTATTTCAATTAAACTGAAAAAGATTCTTTGTAAAGCACATGTTTTAGCTATTTTTATTACATGTGAGTGAATATGTGACAGATATCACCATTCTCTTTTCCCTTTCACACACAGCATCTCTGAGAAGAAAACTTTGAAACAGCATCTCAGTTCCTCAGCTATCCTTGAAAATGTGCTTAAGTACACAGATATCCACATTCCTGGGTTTCTGAAGCCATGATGCTGACCTACCTGATGGTGGTATAGGTGTTCCCTAAAATAAAACTTAGCAAGACTCGTGTGTGTGTGTAGGAAAACCATGCTATCAGTAAAGGCAGCATTAAGTAATACAGGGATGACAGCCTACCAGCTTAGACCTTCACTTTTGTGACAGATCTCAGAAGACGCAAGAGCCACCCTCAAGGTCATCCACTCATACATGACACAGCAAATGGTAGTGACGTAGCATTCACTCAACAGATACTGGCATTATTCCTGACCTGGCTGGCTTCTTTCAAGCAGACTCTGTATCTGTCTGCCCATCTGATTTACTGCTTTCTGTACTGAACACTGTGATCGAGATCCTAACAGACTTAAGCTAACGGCCCCGGGTACTGCCAATGAATGAGGAGTTAGGAGAATGCTTCACTAGCACAGCGGAGCTCACGTGGATCCCAGTAACCTGAGAGTGAGCCAGCCTGTCCCAGTGGAACATCAGCATCCTAGAAACACATCGATGCTGATTACTTACTTAATGTATATGAATGCTCTATCTGCATGTACGCTTGCATGTCAGAAGAAAAGATCATGTTATAGATGGTCATGAGCTACCATGTAGGTGCTGAGAATTGAATTCAGGACCTCTGAAAGAAGAGTTGGTGTGTTATTAATCACTGAGCCATCTGTCCTGCCCCAGAAAATCTATTCTTTAACAGTTAATTGTTTTCCAGTCTTAAGCTTCTGAATTAGTATATGCTACTGACAACTGGCTGCTAATTGCTTCTCCTCATGAAGGCCTTAATTATCGTAACGTCCTTGCCTCTATTTTGTTGAAGTTTTTTACAAATGAAAAAGAAACTTAGAAGGGCTCCTGTACAGTATTATTCCTACCCTGCAAGCACTGGCTAGGACACAGGATTCCTCCTCCATAATACTTAACCAAAACAAGGGTGCAATTTCTATTCCAAATATAATTTGAAGAAATGCTTGATTCTTTTACTACTCCAAAATATAAATAGAAAAAAATCCAGTTTCACCTGAGTGGCAAGTTGTTATTTACAAAAAGCTATTTAGTTTAGAGAGAGGAGAGATTGTGATCCAACTATAAATGATTTCTATTAGTTTGTAAAATCATGAGCATTCCTTTGTCACCTGGATTGAAATAGTCCATGAATTTAATCCTAAAGAACTATTAGGAACTATTAAGCAATGCCATTGCATTGTTTTAAAATAAAATTAAAACCATATATTACAATGGATTAAAACTTATTCTCAAACAACTTACAATGCTTTTATTGTTACAGTCAGAAAAGGGTCAGGGTCTGGAGAGATGGCTCGGTGGTTAAGAGCACTGGCTGCTCTTCCAGAGGTCCCTGGTTCAATTCCCAGCACCCATATGGGCAGCTCACAAACACCTGTAACTCTAGTTTCAGGGAATCTGACTCTATCGCACAGACATATATGCAGACAAAACACAAATGCATATAAAAATGATAAAAAGTAAAATCAATAAAGAAAAAGTAAAGTAATATGGGCCAAGACAGATGCTCTGCTCTGCTTTTTGCTCAGATCTTATCCAAGGTTTAAAATTAGTAAACAGGAGTCCCACATATTTATGGAAATATTAAAAAGCTGTATTATAAAAACAGGATTCTATTATATTTCATTGTCTAACATTTTGATAAAATTCTTTCTCATGCTCATACCATCAAAAGGTATTCACTCAACATTTACACAACCAATTACACTTAATATATCCACAGGTTTTCCCTATGTCCCAAAAACTAACCTTACATAATTTCTTATTTAAAAACACATAATAATTTGTAGTTAAGATATGCCTACAGAGTTTATACACAGATTCAATTCAGTCTCTAGTTGTTACTTCTGAAATGACTATATAACAGTTATTGTCTAAAACACTAAAATTCTAAACCACCAAAAGTAATTAAATGCATTATGTTACATTTCACGGCCTTTAAAACTTCACAGACTAAGCACGGCATAGCAGGTAATTTTTCCCCCAGTAGATCCTTGACTGGAATGAACTAGAACAAAAATATCACATCATTCTTGGGAAGTCTTGCAAGAACCCAGACCATCTAAAAGAATTAATCATTAATATATAAAAGTATATTTATTAATTGAGCTAGTAACACACAGACATTAACTGTAAAGCATGACCTTGTAACTGGCAAGAGAGGCGGAGAGTGGGACCCTCCAGGAGGGCTGGGGACAAAGCAGGACACAGAAGGGAGGAGGTGTAGAAGGCAGCAGGGAGGGGACCACAGGAGGAGAACATGCAGGGGGAGAGGGGAAGAGAGGGAAGCGGAGTGGGAAGACAGAAAACAAAGTTGTCAATCTCATGTCTCCTTATTTAAATGCTCAGCTTGAGTCCTGGAAAAATAGGCTACTGTAGATTGCTACGGACGTTCATAAATAATTTCCTGTGATTATTCTTTTCTAAAAAGGAGAGTAGCTGAAACTGATGGATTCTTTGTACCAATGAACATGAATTATCATAGTTTAAATACTGGTACAGTACATAGTAAAACAGACCTTTACCCATGGTGTATCATATATCCAAGGGACATGAGGACTTGCGAGAAAAGATTAAAAATAACTTAAGTGCTATCTAAACATTCTAAAAACTAACTTAGACAAACCTCACTTTATACTTTTATCCACATATAAATAATATACATTGTGAAAGAATCCTTTAGTATCTTGAAATGAAAGATACTTTTTCAGAAATAATAATAATCTTTATTTATAACAAGTAAAGCAAAATGCCAAAAGGGCCATTTAACCAACCAGAGCACAGCACAGAATCCACACAAAGCACATGTACTGCTCTTCTTGACTTCAGGAGAAACAGGGCCCTGGTTTGGACTACATAGTTTTTGCTTAAGAGGTTTCTGAACTCTGCAAACAGTACAGACAATCAAGGGTCTACAATTAAATTTTACAAGAAAGGTTTCTCACAGGTTTCTTTTTTGCTGTTGTTTGTTTTTTAAATAAGATAGTTATATGTTGGTTGTCTGAGTAAATTAAAATTAGAAATGCTAATTTTCTAATTTTATATGATTACATACATTAGAACATATTTGGATATACCTGCTCTTTTTATTGTTTTTCTTTGCACAAAATATTCTTGCTAATGTTTTTGTTATTGTGACTTTCAATAACTCCTGATAAGTAAAAAGAAAATAACAAATGTAATTTACAAAATAAACTACAGCAGTATTTGACAAGCGCAGGTTCGGGAATACTCTCTCATGAAATCAATTCAGTGGACCCTGCCTATCGTTAAAACACCAGAGCGCAGGAAGAACGATGCTGCTTTCTGGAGCTTTTCCTTCGGGGGTCTTGATGCTTATAAATATTTGTATGTGCTCATCTGGTCTCGCTGTAAAATCTAACCTTAATATAATAAGCTACCTTGATAAAGTAAAGTCCTGATAAAAGGGCCTTGGAAAGGGCAGTCGCATGTGTGGGAGTTAGGCGGTGAATGTTTTACATAACTGCAATGTTTATTTATTATTGTGCCTGATCTTTATCTCCATCCAGGGGCTTCCAGTCTGCATCCTTGGATCCTCGGGAACTGCAGTCACAAGTGGATCAGGTTTCTAAGGCAGGCAAGCACACCTCTATGCGCTCCGCCCACACTCGTTCCGCCCACACTCTCTCTCTTACCTGTGGGCAATCCTTTTCCTCTCAGTCGGTCTCGAATAGCCTGGTTCCGGTCAGGCTTTTGTTCACTGCTACGGGAAAGTGGATCCGTCTGTACACAGGTAATCAAAAGTCAAGTTTGATAAAATAACCTTTTTTTTTTTTTAATCAGTGACTGTCCACAGAATAGCACATAGCACATTACCCAACCTCAAAGGTTTAGTACCAAGTAAGGAGATCGCATGCCTGACTGTAATCTTTACGGCTTAGACTTACATGGATCAGGACTGGCCAGTCTATCTTCAGAAAGTTAAAAGGCAAAGAGACACAGGGTGAGCTGTACCTGGGAACTCAGGGTTAAGGTGGCTCCATTTGAAGGCAGTGATTTGAGGCCTTCTGCTTTCCTCTTTCTGATATCTACTTTCATCTCTCAAGTTAGACTTTACAATCTTAAGGCTACAATAATTCTGTATAGTAAAACTTCTTCCTGGTTGCAGCTATACGTTATTTCAGAAGTGATTTCCTAGATATTGCTTGCCAGAATGGCACAGCCTGCTAAAGTTTTAAACTGGATATGCTGGCAAGTGACAATTTAAATTGGTGCTGTACGGAATCCTCTTTATGTTTCAGTGGTCTGATATTTCAGTGACTTTAACCATAGATACTTATATAAAATAAGTCATGTCAAATTAGATCAAGCTCTGCATTACATAGGATGAAAGTTAGAACACTAGCTTACTTAGATGGGAAAACCAGGATAAATACAGACGAAAGTTGATGAGAAAAAAGATGCTAAGTGTAGTTCAAAGGCATGTGCCTGTGCCTGCTTCTATGCACACACATTTTAATATCCCTCCATTACTGAAGTTTGTGTATAGGTCACAATTCTGTCTTAGGTAGCATATTCATGGTTCAAAGCATTTTACTTCCTATTTAAAAGAAGATTTAAAAGGAAGTATTTCTGAAATGATGCTGTCCTTGAACTGCATAACTGTCATAGTGCACTGACAGTAACAGGAAAATAGTAAATATTATAGACACTTGTGAATGTCTGCTTTGAGGCAGTGGTCAGTAACAACTGCCATTCGTTTAGTGACTAGTTATGCCAGGCCCCAAGCAGTGCATCATCACACCATACCCAATTTTCAAAGCAACCTGGTGTACTACACACCATTCTTACTGCCGTAACTGTTACAGATGCTCTGAAATGGCAAAACTGTGCGGAGTACCTGGAAGCAGCTCTGTTACCTTCACAACTGCCTGGTGACATGAACAGATGCTGCCTAGTAATAACCATAGTTTATAGTTAGTCAAAATTAAGGTAAAGCACTGTAAGACTAGAGGATCCAAGCCACTTCAGCTGGCATCTGACCGGCTCACGGCTGATCCATCCTACATAAGGGCTCCGACCATCACAGTGCCCACTGAAGACAGGAAGAGCAAGGCCTTGTGGTCGGAGACCTGCAGCTTCTGACTCTGTCTCTACTATGTAACAGTTTAACAGCTTTCATTTTGCTTTCCAAAAGGACATAGAGACATAAAATGGGAGCAGCTGGAACAAGAAAACTTCATCCATCAGCTCCATTACCTACACCCTCAATAAACTAAAATTTATTGAAAGACAATTCACGTTTTGACCAGGAGACCTCTGAGCCTACTTCTCACTATACAGCAAAGTGTGTGTGGAATATGTATATACTTCATTTTCCAGGACAAAGAATTAAGAAGAAGTGAGGAAGAACACCACATGACAGCAGCACAAGACTGTAGCCCACACGGAGAAGGGACAATCATTGAATGAAGGCTATCACACAGCAAGAGTGGGTAAGTATAAATACCGATCAGAAAGCCACAGACAGTGACAGACAGACCCAGCCAGAGAGAACAGGACAGGACAGTTGAAGGGAAGAAGAGCAGAGGTCAGATTATTAGATACAGATTTTATTCTTGAGTTTTTTACATCCTGGATGAGAGAGAATGGAGGCACCAACAGAGTCATGGATTCCTTCACACCGGAGAATGAGGAGAAGGCTGAGAAGTTCACGAGGGATCCTAACAAATGAGGGCAAGAAAGAAGTCTGGAAACAGAGGCATGCTAGGTATTTCTGAAATCACTCTGTGTGTGAATGCATTTCCTCAGGGTACTTACTGTGGTCTGCTCAGAGACCTCTGGGGAGGATCGGAGGAGGAATGTAGGGGTGGACAAACTGTTACAGCTTGAAAATGCTAATGTTCTACAATCTTTTCTAGAATAAAGTTCTTTAAATGCTTTCATAAAACGTGGAAGTCTAATGAACTGAAATAGAAATACTAAATTTTAAAAGTACTGTTTGTAGTAAACAATCAACATTAAACCAATAAATCCCATTTTTTTATTCTTTATCTTGAAAAACTGTACTATACATTTAAAGTTGTGATACTACTAATTTTCAAACTATGACTATGCTTACAAGTTAAAACTGTAGCTTACCCCAGAAATATTTCCCAGAACCAGCTTTACCAACTGTTTCACATAGGAAAATGAAGGCGCACAATTACTGTTCCTGATGTGGGCACTGCAGGCATCCAGGACGGTCCGAACCGACACCCGAGCATAAATAACATCCTCACACATGCCCAGCAGAATGCTATTGAGATGATCTCCCAGCTTGATGGGCTAAAATGAAAGGAAAGGCCACATTAATAAACGTAGACAAAAGGCCTTTATGGGATCTCAGGAACACAGCAAATGCTCATAGGAAATGAATTGTTTTCTGTTGGCAATTATGTCTCGTTGATGTATTTGATTCACAAACCATAACAGAAGGAAGTTAACATGTCTTCCTAGATATAAAATGTAACGACAACAACAACCAAAAGCTGTTGATTCTATAATGAAGAAGTGTGGGTTTTTCTGGTTTTGTTTGTTTGACAAGGTCTCACTGAACTCTGGCTGACCTGGAACTCTCTACATAGACCAGGCTGGTCTTGAACTCACAGAGACTCCTGCCTCACCTCCCATGTGCTTGGATTAAAGAGTGTGTGCCACCATGTCTGGTAGAAGTGCAATTCTTTGTATTCAAATACATTGAGAAACGGGGACAGTATCTCAATAGTCACTGTTCAATAAGATCTTTTCTCTATAATTTGGGATTTTTATGATAAACTGGAAGATTCTAGATGCTGAAATAATTCAAGAGCAGTTAAATGCAATGCTCAGTAATCTGATGAAACAAATCAGAATGTGACATCATTTGTTAGTTAAAATAAGTTTTTCAGGCCAGGTGGTGGTGGCGCATGCCTTTAATCCCAGCACTTGGGAGGCAGAGGCAGGTGGATTTCTGAGTTCGAGAGTTCGAGGCTAGCCTGATCTACAGACTGAGTTCCAGGATAGCCAGGGCTACACAGAGAAACCCTGTCTCGAAAAAACTAAAAAACAAAAAGAAAAAGAAAAAAAAAAGGTTTTAAGTTACTGCAATTAAATGACCCATAAGCATAAAGAAGGATGGTGAGCATCACTGATCATTAAGAAATACAGCCGTAAGAAAGGACTTCTGGGCTGGAGTGCAGCTCATTGGCAGGAGGCTTGCTTAGCATGTGTGAGGTCCTAGACTCAATTCTCCAGTGTCCTGAGAATGTATTTAACAAATTAAAAGTCTAATAACATTACATACTGGCCAACCACTGTAGATGTGTAAGCTCTAACATCCATCTGGTCTAAACAAAGGCTTCATGTGACATCTCATCTACTGGGGTATCACTTTTCCCCTTGTGTCGTAGTAGATACGATTCCCTTTAAAAACCTACTCTAACCCTTGGGCTCTAATCAGAAGTCCAACTTTGGTTTTTCTATTTCCCCTAACAGAGCATTCGTTACATTATATTGTCATTATCTATTTAGCTATCTGTATCTTCCAGCAGATTTCAGAGTTGTGGTCCATCAGCAGGTCTAAAGTCTAGTGTTTTGTTTGATACAAGATATACTTATGAAATATTTTAAAATTAATGTTAAAGTATTTCTAAAATGGTAATACTTTATGATTATAAAGTATAACTTTGATACCGTCTAATTTTTGCTTTATTTATATTGACTTTTTATTTCAAGTTATTAGTAAAGAATATGAAATGGAATTGTAGACTGCTCCATTTTACATGATAGTTACATGACAAATAACATCAATATCTCCAGCAACAACTGATTTTTCTCATTCATATTTATAGATTTAAAACTAAGGAAAGAAAGAAAATATACAAAAATTTCCAAGAGGTAAATTAGATTGAGCTATGCTGAATAATATCATTCATGTCATGAATTTTAAGGTGTATAAATTTTGGATTAAATGCTATTTGAAAGTATTTAACTCTTTTTTTCTTTTAAATGTGTGTGTGTGTGTTTTAATTTTTTTCTTTTTTAACATTTTCACATGTAATCGAGCAGAGTTTCTGTTGCATCCAAGTAGCAATCAGGAATGGCAGCATGGCATTTTGTAACAACTGACACTGTGGCTTTTCAATTCTGGTTGGCAGAAACCTTATCCTCAATTAAATCTAGTCATGCTTTTGAAAAATGCTTTAGGTCACTCCAAGCTTAGCAATTAACATTTAGCATGGACAATGGTAAAATCACCACAATAGTTAAGGAACAGATACACCCTCATAGGCCAGAAACACACACAGCAAAGGAAACATAGTGGATCAGTAGTAACCACAGTTAATAGAGGAACTTAGCAGAGCCATCTGGAAGCTTTGCTTCCCGAGCCCTCCGATAGTTCTCAGCATGGGAACAATGCCTACAGTACAGTTCACAGTCACTAACACACTGAAAACACGTACAGCATGAGAAGCTCGTTTGTATTAACGCCTTACAGCCTTCGGAGTCGTCAACAATACCTTAGTATAAAAAATAGTCAAGTTGTATTTCTCATAGAACTTTCTGTGCTTCCTAAAGGGTGTTAAGTGGGTTTAGCGGAGGCAGTAGTTTCCCCTAAGGTGAATTATTTTAGTATTTTTATAGCTGTATAGACCTAAAGGCTTTTTAGACTTTTGGAATTATCAATGATGAGTGTGGGAACCTTCCAACTTACTGTAATGTCATATACTTGGTTCATAATGCCATTCTGTCAATTTCTGTGAAATTAAATTTTAATCTTGTAAAAAACCACGTAAGAATGGTGTAATAAATAACTGATATGCTGAAATAGATGCAGCTACAGATGACAGTTACCAAAGGGGCCGGGGACCCACACTCACACCACTGGAAGCTCGAGTGTCTGCATGTTTTTAACTTACAGAACTACTGAAAGGTATACACACCTGTCTACTTAGTCTGGTGTCTTCAGAAACCCAAGATAAGGTCCTTATATAACTGTTTATCCAAGAAAAAAAAATGTAGCTGGTAGTTTCTCCTTTGAAAATAATGAAATAATTCCAAGACTTTTAATAACCCGAATTTAGAAAAGGACAGTTTTAGTTAGAAATCAATTAAGTGTATGGAGACCCAAAAAGAATGACTCATGTAGATAGCCAAGAAAGATCAAACTAGAATCTAGGCGTACAGTGATTTCAAGGAGAAACACAGTAGTTGCCTGCAGGGAATACCACAGGTTCAATGATGCTGTTTCCTATACAAAGGGCCTTCCATGCACGCTACTGGGTATTTCCCTGGAGTGGAGGTGAGGGTGGTTTCACTTTGTTTCATTCACAAACTATTTGGTCAAAGAAATAAGTAAAGCTAAATTAAAGCACATCTGGTAGAAATCTGCAGCCATGAGCGTTGTCAAGATGTGCTTGGCTCTCGCTTGCAGCACCTGGCAGTGGGCAGCAGGGGACAGGTTGGCAGCTCAGGGGCTCTCTGTCATCTGTTCTGGAGGTGGCTCCGTGGTTGTGGTATTGGTAGCGTTTGCTGTGGAATTCAGGACTTCTCCAAAATCACCACCAGCAGGCCTGGCTCCTCCTACTTTAGACTTTTAAGTTTTCAACTTTTTCTTCAAATGACTTGAATGTTGGGGAGTTTTTCACATCTTCCAGCTTTTTGGTGATGACTGAGCCAACCGATCAAAATGCAGCGGAGGCCTTCTGCCCGGCTTGCGACAGAGTTTCGGATGTCTTCTTGTATGCGTTGGTTGCTGTCACATCTTGCCACCCTTTGACGATATTCTGCTTGAATTCCTGAAGCGAGCTGATCCCAAGTTTCCACTTGACCTCCGCGAGATGCTTCTCTTTTGTGGCCAACACTGATGCAATCTTTTGTGGACACAGTCTGGATTTCTTCTTCCACCTTAGTAAGCTCCCGTCTCAGCTCCTCTTGTTCCTCCTCTGTCAGCGTCTCTGGGGCACTGAGCATTGCAACAGCATCCTCTCCTTCCTCGGCCACTGGCTCTGTCTTCAGCAGACCTTGCTTGCCTCGGTCCATGTCTGAGCCACCTCGCTCCCGGCGCTCTGCCGCGCCGTGTGTGTGTGTGTGTGTGTGTGTGTGTGTGTGTGTGTGTGTGTGTTCACAGGTATGTAGGCATATGTACAGATACGCACACATATATGCACACAGGTGGAGGCCAGAGTCTGACA